TTGCCAAGAAACCCCCATGATAGCTTCTTCTTGGGGGGATTTCCCCCCATCAGCTTCAGAGAATAGTGATGGCAACCTTGGTTTTTCAGATCCCTAGCCCCCACCCCCACTAATAGGATTTTTTTAAAAAAAGTCAATCAAATCATGTGCACCTTTGTCATATCGATGATGCAAGTATTCAAAGGTACTATCCGCTGCAGCCATGCAATAGCAAAGATGTGCATAAGCTGTCAAATTTTTATTTATTTTATTTTTTAAAAAACACAGTCTAATGATGTTCCTGGGAGAACCCCTCCCTGGCTTTGGCTTTGGCTGGCAGGGAGGGAGCAAAGGGGTGGGCATGATCTGCCCCCTGCACAGTAACCCTTCCCTTCCTGTGCTCCAAATTGAATCGACAGCAGATTTCCATTTATGGCTGGTAAAAAAAAAAAAATCTAGTTCTTTTGAAAAGACACACTAAAATCTCAGTTTCCAAAAAACTGAATTTCCAAAAAATCTCAGTTTCCAAAAAAACCCGGGTTAAGGGGGATTTGCCCCGGATCCCCTTGAATTTGGGTCAGGAAAAACGGTGCAAGTATGAATGAAACCCCCCCCCCTTTTAAACCGGTTTGCAAATTGGTTTACAATATCGTGTGAACGGCCCCTTAGTCTCACCTCACCATTCACCACCTCACATCCCCACATGATTATAATATATGCAGGCTTTTTTGCCTGGTGGCATTTGATGACTAGGATATATGAAGCCATGTGAACAGTTTACTCCAGATGGTTCAAGTTCCCTTCAATAACCTGCAGTTTTCCACCCCATTCTTTTCTACAAGAAGGTCTCAGTCTTGACCAAATACTATTGGACAGCAGGACACAACCAAGGAGAGCAGATGTCCTAACCACAAAGGGGAGGGCAAGGTGCCACAAAATGTAGGGCATTCAAGAAAAATGTAGGCTATTACAAAATAAAAGCTAGAAACACTAATAGAAATATAAATCCATGCTTCTTAGTCATGCTCAAAATGGAGGACAGTTTGAAATTCCTCCTGGATAGAAGGTTGAAATGTAGGACAGGTCCTGGAAAAGGAGGACACCTGGTCAGGCTGGACACAACCCTTTCCTTAGACCTATTTCAGGCAGACTATCCACCACAGTTTTCTCACCTCCACCAAAAATGGCTTCGTAGGATGCTTCCTAATGGTCCCACCAAAGTGCATCTCCTTCTTACCTGGAGCTTCCTTCTGGTCTTGGAGATCCTAAGGAAACCACTGTTTGAGCCAATTGAAAAAATCTCTCTCCACTTGTCTTTCAAATTGACTTTCCTTTTCACTATAACTTATGCCAGGTGGTGTTTAGAGATGCCAGTACTGTACTTTCAGCAACAGTATCTCTGCACATCCCACTAGGATTATGTATCTTTGTACCTAGATTTTCTTCACCTTTCTTGTCTTTCATGACCTAATCTTCCCATCTTTCTGGCCAAATCCATCTCATCCATCACAGAAGTTTTAGCATAGGCGTGGTGTTAAGCAAACCCTGAAAGTTTTATCTCCAGGACTAAACCTATCAGGCAGTCAGGTATTTTTTTTCTCTTTATTTTAGCAGGCCTCTGTACTATGGTACTAGGTAACATAGCTCTTACACTCTTACCGGATGGAAGTGGGCAAATGGTGACCTTCATTCAAGAAAGATACATTCACATTTTTTCTATATCTTACT